TTGTCGCACAGCGGGCCCAATGTCACTGTGCCAAAAAGTCAGGAAAAGAGAAGATTCAAGTAAGATTCAGTGAGTGCAGACAACATGGGCCCATCACCTTTACCCTGAGCCATTGACTCCAGGTGACAGCTGGAAACAGGTAAAAATGAGTGCTTGAACTTTAAAGCCACTTCACATACAAAAGATCAGACTATCTCCTCTTACAGTGCTGCTCACCCTAAGCTCTGTCTACCCATCTGAAGACCCAGAAAAGCATGGCAGTCCCCTGAGTCTTCAGATGGCATCCCGAAATCTTGCGAGTTCTAATCCCAGACACACTGGAGGCAGGATCTAGTTGAACTGGAAAGGGAGAAGATAAATTTTCCTCCCTCTAAGATAGTGGTGAGTAGCTGGGTCCTGAATGCTTTTTTTGGCTTACAACTCCCAATATACCTTACAGTATAGCCACTGGTTGAGGATCCATGGGTGTTGCAAGCCAAAGACATCTACAGCGACACAGCAGCCTACACCTATCGTAAGACCAATCTCGCTACTGTCTGTGTTTCGTGAAAGAAAACTGAATATGAACTCCTGATTTGATCCTAAAGCTCACCCCATGTTTGCATCTTGCCTACTGACATCATTTTAAATGCTTCATGATTATATACAGATAGAAGCCCTGTAGAGGCACTCAACCTGTTTGTGATAGGGCTTTAAAATGAGGAGAGGGCTTGGGTTATCAAAAAGGCCAATACCAAACCCTCTGGGGAAACAGAAACTCTTATAAATCAGATTTCCCAGTTTCACAGTAACTTCTACTTTTATTGAAGCAAATATGAGTAGGAGCTCCCTTCACACTTTCATTGTAGAAGTGCTGGAGTTTGAGCAGAATCTACTATGGACAGCCATTAATAGTAATAACTCCGGAGTCCCGGCTTTGAGCAGAATCTACTATGGTAAACCATACCATTAATAGTAATAACTCCGGAGTCCCGGAGGCAGTTCCTGTTATTTTGTCAACTCCTGCAATGTCGCTGGAACCAGTTGTATTGGCTCTTGCCTTTCCATTGGACTATTTCAGTGACGTGGAGAGGGGGGATTTGCTGGTTGGGTAACAGCTTATCCTCCACATTATTTTACCCAGGCTTTGTGCCCTGGAGAGGACACTCTAGCTTCGTGTACAGCGTCAAAACTAGATGCTGTTCCAAGTCCTCCATAATCAAAACTAGATGCTGTTCCAAGTCCTCTATACAGAGCACGTTACCATAGTATCTCGAGACTGAAGGATGCCTATGATATGTGCCATGAAGACTTATGTTGACCCTTTTCAAGGTTTACAAGGTAAAGAGTAGTCAGAAGTGGTTCAATACTCCCTTCTCTGGCTGGCTCTACTCGCAAGAGGCACAGTGGTGAATCGAGCTCCAAGTCTCTGGCTCTGCAGCCAGACACTTGAACGCTCTACTCACAAGAGGCAGTGGGGAATCGAGCTCCAGGTCTCTGGCTCTGCAGCCAGACACTTGAACCATTGAACTGTACCATTAGGCCAAGCCAAGCAGCTTCCTCAGGTGAGGGGGGCAAAGGAGAGCAGTGACAGCATCCCACTTGTTCTCAACTTCTCTGGCTGTCCTTTCCTGCAGGAACATGCCACTTTCCCTCCTTAACAAACAAGAGGCAGTGGGGAATCGAGCTCCAGGTCTCTGGCTCTGCAGCCAGACACTTGAACCATTGAACTGTACCATTAGGCCAAGCCAAGCAGCTTCCTCAGGTGAGGGGGGCAAAGGAGAGCAGTGACAGCATCCCACTTGTTCTCAACTTCTCTGGCTGTCCTTTCCTGCAGGAACATGCCACTTTCCCTCCTTAACAAGTCTGTTGTATCGGGTATAGTGAAAACAGAATGCTGTCATATTACTGGTGTTGAAGTAAGGTTCAGTGGCCACTCAGCACAGCTTCTGAACAAGGACTGGGAATGGGGAATCCATTTTGCCCTTCACCTCAGGCAGCAACAATATGTCTTAAGTCAGTATGGAGAACTAAAGGTATTTTTCTTCTCAAGAAAAGAGTGAAAATAGCCAATGCCTCCCTCTCCTTCATCACAACTAGGGCCACTCACAGCATGAATGGCCTCTTACTCAAAAAGACATTTTTTAAAAAAAAGAACCCAGTTTGTAGTGAAAGGACAACATGGCTCATTCCCACATACAAGAGGAGGAGGAGGATAGTGCGCTGTCAAGTTGGTTTTTGAGTTACTGTATTGTGACCCTTTTCAAGATTTTCTAGGTATAGAGTACTCAGAAGTGGTTTATCATTCCCTTCTTCTAGGGGTGCTCAGGGACTGTGCAGCTTGCCCAAGGCCACACAGGCTGGTTCTACTTACAGGAGGCACCGTGGAGAATTGAACCTTCAACCTCTGGCTCTGCACCTAGATATCCAACTCCCTGAGCTATCCACCTAGCTTTTATACAAGGAGCAATTCCTCGTAAGTTAAGTAGAGAGGGTTCCCTCTCTTCTTAGGTGAATCTATGTCATTCCAAAACTCCAGATGATACAGGGAAGAAGCGAGCTAGCCATTCAAAAGATTCTAGTCTTCCTTGTCTGGCGAAGTTTGTGGGAGGAAGGAGACTTCTACGATTCCCTCATGAGCATTCATAATGTGTAGACAGATCTCAGTCCTCCATCTCTCAGCTATGGTAAGAATAAAGGCTTATGTTTCAGGATTATTGTTCAGATCACCAAAATAATATAAGCCAGTGTTTCTCAACCGGGGTTATGACCCCAAGTGTTTTCTGGTGGGGTCACAGGTCACCATATATGTGTTTCAGCCTTTGTTTAATCATTTCTTCCTTGACCTTTCAAGGTTAGCATGTATGTGTATGAGAAACAGGCACTTTGGTGGGGAAAGAAGCCTCTCCTTTCTGAGAAGGGATGGGTTTACACCATTAAAAATGCCTTTTCATGTAAATGTGGCAGGGGGGATCACAGGTTACATGGCTACTATAAAAAGGGGTTGCAACTCTTAAAAGGTTGGGAATCACTGATGTAAGCAGAACTAAAAGACTAGTAGCACTTAAAGGACAAGCAAACACATTATTTATTCCACAAGCTTTCATAGACAAGACTCCACTTTGTTGAAGACATGAAGATTCATCCTATATTGGGAAAGATGTATGTGTAGCTTTCCTTCAAGCATCCACATCTAAGCCCATGAAAGGTGTGGGGAGAACACATGGGGTAGTTTTTTGCCCCTCGACAATGCTGTACAATCTTGGCACTGATTTTCAACCAGCATGCAAATACAGTAGCTGAGTTAGAAAGGGCAACAATCTTACAATGTGTTATTTCAGTCATTGTCTTTTACTAATGTTTTTAACTAATTGCTAGCTATTCTTGTTATTTCAAATCATTACTTTTCTGAAGTGATTTTGTATGGGCTGGATATTTTTATTAATTTAATTTTTTAAGAATTAACAATTTAATGGTTTAACTCAGTGGTTCCCAAACAGCCGGGGATGCCAGGAAATCCTCGGAAGTACTTCCAAGGACACTGCTGAAGTACTACTAAGGCTGGGTTTCCCCCTTCCTTCTTCCCCTCCCAAAATAACATATTGGGGGAGCAGCAGTCTGTGGTCAGTAAGTCAAGGGAGACACGAATCAAAAACATTTTGGGACCACTGGTTTAATTTTATTAGTTCCCTCTTAACATTAACAAACCAATTTATTTCATGTTTTTATATCAATATGCAGTATTAGCATAAATATTTCCAAGCTCTGGCCATGTTTTCAGAATCAACCAGTGTCACATTGGTTAACGGGAAGAGGATTCTTCTTGGATGTGGACGTGTACATAGACACATGCATACACAGGTGTGGGGAAAATAATCATTTGACCACTTCTCTCAATATGTATCTGCCTAATTATGACTATAAGCAAGAGAAAACTGTTTTAAAATAAGTGTACTAACAGTAGCTCACAGATTGGGCATGTAGGAAAAAGTTTTCTTCCATGTCATCCCCAAGCACAGGAATGCTGTCCCTCTGGAATCATGTATGATTGGTCTTCACACTCTCTGTATTCAAGAAGGGAATCAGGATAACGCATTTAAACCTGTCTTGATTTTTGTTGTTTTATCACTTCTTTGTGGCTGTATGTGATCAGTTTCCAGAAGGGCAACTGGAAAGTACAATAAATAAATAGTGGGAAGCAGCAGGGTGAAATGGTCCCCAAAATGCCGCACACAAAAAAGTGGGTAGAGACAATTCAATTAAAGTATGCTGAATAAATACACTGGCAATTCACAACAGCAATTATTTTTGATAAAGCAATCATGCTAGATTGGTTTAGTTAATTAAAGGAAGTCATTCCAATTCAGCCTTGGAGTTACAAAATGGAACTTCTTGGTAAGATACGATTCAGCAGTTTTATGCTAGAGATAATATACGTGAATCACTTTGAACACTGTGTAAATGCTAAGTTTTCCCATTCTATAAACTGCATTGATGGTAAGTGTTTTCATATATATAGCCAGAGAAGTAACAGTGTTCCTGGCATACAAAATCTCTGTATCCGGTAACTTTCAAGATGCATTTTCAACATGCAGCAATATTTGGGGCCCATGTATTGATCGCAGGATGCATCACTTCCCTGCATTGTTTCCACCAAGAAAAAATACCTTTTCTGCACCTATAGATTAATGGGGTCATTTTGAGACACAGAGAAAGCATGTTTGGGCTCCCTGGGCAGCCTGTGTGAGCTCCTCTCTCTTCCCTTAACTTACCTCAAAGTGTCAGTGTTAAGATAAAGTTTTATGAGCACTGGACAGTACCTGATATGGATGGGGGCAAAATGTTGCCACTAGATATGCTTTTGCTGGCATTTAACATTTCCCTGCCCCCAAAACTCCATCCGAGGTGCAAAACGTCAAAGTGCAAACCTCAGTGCTCAGATATTCTTTGGATGAATGTCTCCTTGCTAAGAAGTTGAAAACATGGGCATCAGTCCCTAGAATAAGAAGGGCTGCACTTACCACCACCGTTCTTGTAACAGAGGTAAGGGAATCGCCAGACATTCCCCAAACCAATGATTTCCCCTGCCACAGATAGAACATATTCCAGCTTGTTGTTCCAGTGTTCTCTCTCTAGCATTTGGTCCGTTGCCTCTTTCTTCTTCTTCTTCTTTTCCCCAGTGGCTTGTGCAGGTATTTCTCCATTGATAATAGCCCCGGGGACTCTGTAATCCATTCCACCTTCAAAAGATCAGTGCTGCTTTTCCCCCCCCACTGTGATGATTCCAACAACAAAAGTCAAGCTGGAATAGAAGTAAGAGACAAGCTCAGGGATACACTCAAAAGTTCACACCACAGTTGCCTTGCTTACAACAGCGGGAGATGTTGACGTTCCTTGTGCACAAGCTGTACCCAACAGACTTGACTGAGGTAGGAGGTATTTGTTTTGGATTAAGAAGAATACTGACGGCTTAATTTTTTAAAGAGAGAGTCATTTCAAAATGTTCTCGTTTCTCACAGAGCATCCTTTCAGACAGAGTTTGCACATGTTTTGTAAACCACCAGGTATTTAGCTTGTTTACTTTCTCCTTTTCATTTTAATTTACTACAGTTGTCAAAACAATTAAGGGAAATGTTGCAAACCCTATTTGCTTTTAGAAAAAAAAATGGTCAGGAAAAATAGGGTCTAGCACGCTTTTGGGCCACAAGCACTTCAGTGCAAAGCTTAGACAAGGGACTTTTCTTGAACTAAATGTCCCAGACCACCGCCACCCAGTCAGCATGGTGGCCATGTTGGCTGAGGGAATACTAGAAGGTGTCATAGATTCATAAAGTCATAGAGTTAGAAGAGACCACTGAGGCCATCTAGTCCAACCCCCCACCATGTGGGAACGTCCATCAAAGTACTCCCAACAGATGGCCATCCAGCCTCTGCTTTAAAACCACCAAAGAAAGAGACTCCACCATCCTTCAAGGCAGCCTATTCAACAGCTCTGAACATCAGGAAGTTCTTCCTAACATTCAGATGGAATCTCTTTTCCGGTAGTTTGAAACCATTGCTCCATGTCCTCGTCTCTGGAGCCCTGGAAAACAAACCTGTCCCCTCTTCAACATGACATCCTTTCAAATATTTAAACATTGCTATCATGCCCCCTCTCAACCTTCTTTTTGTAAGGCTAAACATTCCCAACTCCCAAAGCCGGTCCTTGTAGGACTTTGCTTCCAGACCTTTAACCATTTTAGTCGCCCTCCTCTGGACACGTTCCAGGTTGTTAACATCCTTTTTTAATTGAGGTGCCCAGAACTGGACACAATACTCCAGATGAGTTCTGACCAAAACAGAATAGAGCGGTACTAACATTTCCCTTGATCTAGAGATACTATACTCCTGTTGATGCAACCAAGAATTGCATTGGCTTTCTTGGTAGCCACATCACACTGCTGACTCATGTTCAGTTTGTGGTCTGCCAAGACTCCTAGATGCCTTTCACAGATACTGTTGTCTAGCCAGGTGTCTTCCATCCTATATCTGTGCAGTTCGTTTTTTCTGCCTAGTTGTAGGACCTTAACATTTCTCCCTGTTGAAATTCATTTTGTTAGTTTTGGCCCAGGACTCTAATCTGTCAAGGTCATTTTGAATTTTAATCCTGTCCTCTGGGGAATTAACAACCCCTCCCAATTTGGTATCATCTGCAAATTCAGTCAGCATACACTCTATTCCTTCATCCAAGTCCAAGTCATTGATAAAGATGTTGAATAACACGGGACCCAGAACAGAACCCTGGAGCACCTCACTAGTTACCTCTCTCCAGGATGAAGAGAAGCCATTGGTGAGCACCCTTTGGGTTCGGTCATCCAACCCATTACAAATCCACCTAACAGTAGCACTATCTATCCCACATTCTACTAGCTTCTTTGCAAGAATATTGTGAGGAACTTTGTTGAAGGCCTTACTGAATCAAGATATGCTACATCCACAGCCTTCCCTTCATCCACCAGGCCTGTAACTCTATCAAAAAAGAGATCAAATTAGTCCGGCATGACTTGTTTTTGAGAAACCCGTGTTGACTTCTAGTAATGACAGCATTGCTTTCTAAGTAATTACAAATTGCCTGCTTAATGATCTTCTCTAGAATCTTTCCAGGAATTGATGTCAGACTGATGGGGCAATAATTATTTGGGTCTTCTTTCTTCCCTTTTTTGAAGATAGGGACAACATTTGACCTCCTCCAATCTGTGGGGACTTCCCCTGTTCTCCAAGAATTCTCAACGATTATTGCCAGTGGTTCGGATATGACTTCTGCCAGTTCTTTGAATATCCTTGGATGTAATTCATCTGGCCCAGGGAACTTAAATTCATCCAAGGTAGCCAGGTAATCCTGTACTACATCATTCCAGGAAAGACTGAAGCTCTGGCCTCTGTACCTTCATTGTTACTGTCTCATGGTAACTTTTTCTGCACTAATAATAATAATTAGATGTGTCAACTCAGTTCTGACTTACTGCAACTCTTTTCAGGGTTTTCTAGTATAAAGTACAGTACAGTACTTAGAAGTGGTTTACCAGTCCATTCTCCTGGGGGCACACTGAGACACAGCATCTTGCCCAAGGCTACACTGGAATGCAAAGTGGGAAATCAAACTCCCAATCCCTGACTCTGTAGTCCAGGATCCAGAAAGATATAAAGATCTACCATCTTGCCCAGAAGTAAGCCCCATTCATCTCAGTGGCAAGAAGTCTGAGCAATTGCTATCGAACACTCCAGTAAGGACTTGCAGCCAAAGTTTGTGGAAACGCTCCTATGTGAAAGAAGCATTTTTCAGATCTTGTAGCTTCTAAATGACAGATGAATTTCACATTAAAAAGCATATAGAAGGAAACAGAAGGATTTAAAAAGTAACTAATGAATATACTATGAACATCTAGGAAAAAAGCAAAAAAAAAAGATATCAAGAGGGAGAATTTTTTTAAAAAGAGAAATTAAAATTTTAAAATTACTTGCCTACATTTCTCCAAATTTGGTTCAAAGAAAGCACATTCTGTGTATAACTACTCTACCAAACATGGTCCTGATTCAAGACTCCATACACCTCTAATGAACCTTGAGCACTGCCTTTACAGCTAGAGATTTATGAAAATAGGCTTCTCTAAGATCAGACATATAAGCTTAATGTGTGCACTCTGGGCGCTTTTGCTAAGTGATAAATTATCGTCTTCATCCCATGGAGCCCCTTCATGCAACCAACAAGTGAAGAGAACTGTTATACCTTTCTACATTGCAGTCTGATGATCAAGTGGACACAAATCTTAGGATGTAGGGCTGGCTTTCTGTGATGCATGTGTCAGTGAGATACATGAATGGGGAGAAGCAGGTCATTAAAAGCAGTGGTCCCCAACCTTGGCCCTCCACATGTTCTTGGACTTCAACTCCCAGAAATCCTGGCCAGCAGAGATGGCGGTGAAGGCTTCTGGGAGTTGTAGTCCAAGAACATCTGGAGGCCCAAGGTTGGGGACCACTGATTAAAAGCATGCTGCAAATTTCTGGTGGCACAAGCCTTTGCACAGTTTGGATATAATTAATTAAAATTAAGCCATTGCCTGCGATGCATTATCATTTTAACAACTAAAAGGCATTATTTTAATATTTTTAGCATGGCTGATGATGATTAGGGTAAAAACCTTTCATGCTACTTTGAGAGGAACTTGGGGCATAACTGTAGTGTAATTATTTTTGGTAAGCATTTTTCTTTAATTGAAAAAATGAACAGGGTACTAATAACTAATATCTTCAGTATTCACTCAATTGATATTAAGAAACAAATCTTCATATTCGTATTAGTGTGTTAGCCTTTTTACACTAAGGGTTGCATTGCCTGTGGGCAAATACCTTGGTGGATGCATGCCTGCAGTCATGATGCCAAGTGGTGCATTTTCCCAGCTCAGAAAAGTTAGTTTTGGACTAAAGACTTCTTAATTTCCAAACCAATAAGGCTAATGATGAGTTTGTGGGAGTTCTAAAAAAATAAATTAAAAAATGACATTTTAAAACACTGTATACACCTTCCTGGAGGGGTGCATACTCTCAAAAACACACACTGAGAGACAGACCACTCTTCATGAGCAATTCACATTCTTTTTGTGTTATAAGGTGAAAAAAATTCCTCTCTTAGTGTGGACCATGGAAAAGTGGTCATCTGTGTTCAGCAGAACTCATTGGAGATTTCTGAACTGCATCAGGAAAAAGGAGGCCTGGAGAAAGGCATGTGGTTAGATGAGGAAACCATCTTGTGGCTAACAACACAATACCTTTATGTCAATATTATCAATACTGTCAATGGCATTAATAATGCTACTCTAGAATTAGTAGCTTTGTAAATTGAACCCTAGAGGTTAAATAACAGTTTTTTAAAATGTGCTGTTTAACCCTAAACTGGTCTGGCCTGACCATTCGGCTAAGTGGCTGACACAGCAAATGTTGGTGTTATTTTGGACTCAGAATCAGAAATTGAACTCACTGATTTCAAAAGGGTTATTCCATGTATGATGAAATCTGAATCTAACCTATTGCATTTTGTTCGGCACAAGTTCCTGTGGATTACAATCCACTTCTTTTAGATGCATTATCAATATTTTAGGTACTATGGAAACAGCAGATAATCTTCATTTTACGTATTTCTTGCTGAACAGAAGAATTTGGATGAACAGCTTCCAAAGATGGATATCCTCGATTGGTTTATCAGGAAAATAATCAGCCATGCCAAAGGTTCTCTGAAAAAGGTGAAATTTGTGTACCACTACAACTCGTTCACGTCAATATACAACCGCAGTAGTGGCATTACCAGAGCTTGTTTTACTTTTTAAACTAATTATGTATCTTCATCTTTACAAGCACCCAATTTACAATTTTAGAAGTAAATATTTTCCCCATTTCTCAAAAATAACTGAAACAGTTACCATTTTATTTATCAAAAAATTTAAACTGATGAGTGCTACAAGTAGCTGGCTTGTTATATAAAACTCTCCTTTCCACCTCAAGATCCATAATTAAGCATAAGTCAGTAATACAAGGCACATCATAAACCAGAGGCCATCGCCCTATAACTATAAAAGTAACTAAAAATTACAGTTGTAGTACAAAAAGATTTACATCATGTTTGAAGTTACAATCATAATATAACGTTTTATGCCTTATTGCTGAAAAGGAATTAACTGTATGTACGTAGTTACTTGTAACCAATAGCTTTCATGCTCTGACTATTTTCCATATTCCAGACTCAGTGGCATGAATTTCAGGACTGGAGAAGGACTTAAGCCTTAGGTTAAAGGGAGATGAATCACCCTTCCCACAATGATCTGGCAAAACTGAAT